AGCTGCTTTGATTACAGCCGTTACCGGAGAAACCGCAAGTTCTACCGCTCTCAATGCACCTCCTGCTGGCAGACAATCAGTTTGCATTTTCAATAAGCCCGTCTCTAGCAGCATGTTTTTGTTGTTGCTCTTTTTTTTCTGCAGCAACTCAGAGCACTTTTCATATTCTTTATCCTGGCTGAAGCACATTTGTTTCAATCTATAACAATAATCAGCCGTCCTACATTACCAGTCAAAAGTTTTTGAACAGTAAGATTTTTAATGTTTTTTAAATGTTACTGTTTTTGCTGTATTTTGGATCAAATAAATGCAGGCTTGGTGAGCAGAAGAGAATTCTTTAAAAAACATTAAAAATCTTACTGTTCAAAAACTTTTGACTGGTATGTTGGAAGATATTAATAATTAATAAGGTGAGTCTGAGATGTTTATTTGACAGTGATTTCACATTTCTTGTTTGTATGAAGGCTAAATACAAATAAAAGGTGAACATTAATTTATTTGTGCTGTTTTTTTTCTCTAAAGTTTTATATGGTTTTATATGAGGTGTCAAGACTTGGCAAATTCATTTTTCATAAGTTTCTATACACAGACATCTGTTGTGGACGTTCTTGGCAGTTTTTACAAGGCTTTTTTAATAGTGTTCATATCGATATCGGAATTATATCGTATCGACCGAAATTAAGAAATATATCGTGATATAAATTTAGGCCATATCGTCCAGCCCTAGGGTAACCAAACCTTCAGTCCTTGAAGGTCTCACATTATAACGACTCTGGAAAAGGTGATCATGTCCCACTTTATGACGGAGGGTTCTGTTTTGTAACAATGGAACTACAGTTTTCATATCTGACACTCGCACTATGAGCTACAAGTTATTTATCTGTTAACAGTTTTTGGGAAAAAAAAAAAAACAATACTGGATGGATTTTCCACAACATTAAATTTCTTCATCATTGATATGATACAAACCAACAGCTGTTATAAATCAGCTGTAAATCCCAATTGCTTGGGAAATAAATCTACCGTGTGCTATATAACTATCAACAGCAATAGCATACAATTATGTTCATTAGCATGATAAAGTCCAAACTGGGACTATTTCCTTGTCCAGTATCCTCAACAGCATACAGGCCTCCTCTGCTGCTGAATACTAGTAGAGCTCCACATACTGGGCCACAAACACAAACTCTTTGTGTGCAGGACTCTACCAACACACTTTATCAATCAGTAGTGGAAGCAGCAATCTTCTATGCGGTTGTGTGCTGGAAGCAGCATCAAGACAAGAGCTGCCAAAACACTCTACAGCTTAATCAAGACGCCTAGCTTGGTCTTGGTGCTAAGAGAGGTGCTGTCTAAGGGGTGGACGTTGCCCAAACTCTCAGCCGTCATTAAGGATCCTTCGCATTTAGTCCATAAAACTGTTACTGCTCAGTAGAAAACGTCCATGGTGTTCTAAAGTGTACTGTGGTGTACTTCCTTCTTTGCTGATATCAGGACATATACGGATCTGAGAATTGTGTCAGGCAATGAACCTGTATTCTATTAGTGTACAGAAGAGATTGCTGAAGCAAATTTACAATCTATCAGTGACTAAGATTATATTCAACAAGAGAAAAACCATCATATGGTCACTGTCAGAGTTATGTACATGATATTTCTACTATGTAAAAGCCAGGTTACAAAATATAAATACATTTTCTAATATTAAAAAACTGAGGTTGAGTTTGTTGCAGCTCCATTAGTTTAGCAAAAAACTGCTGAGTTCATTACTGAAATGAGCTGAATAGCCTTTCATTTAGATGTTATCTGGCAACAAAAAACATGCTTAGACCAGGCATTTTCCAACCAAACAAGCCTCTCCATTTCACATCCCCTCCCTCTAGCTCTTGTTCTCCTGGTGAGCACCAGCATGACTGATGTTCTCATAACCACACTTTCCAGTCACCAGAGGGGCATTAGGTCCATGAAAAAGGCTGCCTCAAGTTCCAGGAAAAGCTAAAGGGAAATCCTACTCCTCTCAGATTCCACACTTGGAGAGGTGACAAACCTTTTCCAGCTTTAAACCTCAAGAAATTTGCTGGTTAAAATCCACATGACTCCATTAGTGTGCACAAAATAATATTTAAAGGTATGAAATGTACGCATCAGTCTTAGCCTGTTGAGTACAAAGTACTCAACCTAGCAACAGTTTTGTTTGAAGAATGCAACAAAACCAAGATTTGAAGTAATAGTTCTACCAACAATAATAATGGCCATCATTTGCTCACTGGTATGTTGCCTTTTTAAAAAAAAATAAAAAATAAAAAAATAAACACCACAGATTCAGTCCAATTGACTTGAGGAATATACACAAAGATTTGGGGTATGTAAGAAATTAATGCTTTTATTCAGCAAGGGATGCATTCAATTGATTAAAAGTGACAGTAAAGACATTATAATGTTACTATAATGTTACAAAAGAAATGGATTTCAAATAGCTGCTGAAAAACTGGTTTCCAAGTTTTCCACAAAATATATTAAGCAGAAATGTTTCAACATTGTTACTTGATTGCCAAATCAGAACATTAGAATGATTTCTGAAGGATCATGTGACACTGAAGACTAAAATACTGATGCTGAAAATTCAGCTTTGCCATTACAGGAGCAAATTACATTTTAAAGGGGTCATATGATGTTGCTAAAAAGAACATTATTTTGTGTATTTGATGTAATGAAATGTGTTTAGGCGGTTTAAGGTTAAAAAAACACATTATTTTCCACATACTGTACATTATTGTTTCTCCTCTATGCCCCGCCTTTCTGAAACGCGTCGATTTTTACAAAGCTCATCGGTCTGAAAAGCGAGATGTGCTCTGATTGGCCAGCTATCCAGTGCGTTGTGATTGGCCGAATACCTCAAGCGTGTGACGGAATTGTTACGCCCCTACCATACTGTGATGCCCTGTCCGGCCGGAGCGACGAGACAAAAACATTAAAACCCATTATAAACGAGGCATTTGTTGCATCCAGTGGGGACATAATTACGGATTATAATGACTTATACTGTC